GACACTCTTGTGGGACACTCTTGTGGGACACTCTTATAGGACACTCTGGTGGAACACTCTTGTGGGACACTCTTGTAGGACACTCTTGTGGGACACTCTTCTAGGACACTCTTGTGGGACACTCTTGTGAGACACTCTTGTAGAACACTCTTGTGGGTCACTTGCAGGACACTCTTGTGGGACACTCTTACACGACACTCTTGTAGGACACTCTTGTGGGACACTCTTGTAGGACACTCTTGTAGGAAACTCTTGTGGGACACTCTTGTGGGACACTCTTGTGGGACACTCTTATAGGACACTCTTGTGGGACACTCTTGCGGGACACTCTTGTAGGACACTCTTGTAGGACACTCTTGTGGGTCACTCGGACACTCTTGTGGGACACTCTGTGGGGCAATGTTGTGGGACACTCTTGTGGGACACTCTTGTAGGACACTCTTGTGGGACACTCTTGTGGGACACTCTTGTAGGAAACTCTTGTGGGATACTCCGGTAGGACACTCTTAAGGGACACTCTAGTGGGACACTGTTGTGGGACAGTCTTGTAGGACACTCTTATGGGACACTCTTGTAGGAGGACACTCTTGTGGGTCACTCTTGTGGGACACTCTTGTGGGACACTCTTGTGGGACACTCTTATAGGACACTCTTGAGCGACACTGTTGCGGGACACTCTTGTGGGACACTCTAGTGGGACACTCTTGTGGGACACTCTTGTAGAACACTCTTGTGGGACAGTCTTGTAGGACACTCTTGTGGGACACTCTTGTGGGACACTCTCGTGGGACACTCTTGTAGGACACTCTTGTAGGAAACTCTTGTGGGACACTCTTGTGGGACACTCTTGTGGGACACTCTTGTGGGACACTCTTGTGGGACACTCTGTGGGACACTCTTGTGGGACACTCTTGTAGGACACTCTTGTAGGACACTCTTGTGGGTCACTCTTGTAGGAAACTCTTCTGGGACACTCTTGTGGGACACTCTGTGGGACACTCTTGTGGGACACTCTTGTGGGACACTCTTGTAGGATACTCTTGTGGGACAGTCTTGTAGGACACTCTTGTGGGACACTCTTGTGGGACACTCTTGTGGGACACTCTTGTAGGACACTCTTGTGGGATACTCCAGATACTCCGCGTACTACAGTTGTACTACAAGGTCGCCAGTTCTCAGCTTCCAGCTCCCTAGAACCCCGCGTACTAAAGTTGTACTACAAAGTCGCCAGTGCTTGCCTGCATTTCGCGCGCTCGACACGCACGATCTCCGCAGAGGGTTGCGCGGGCACCGGACAAATCGCACTCTCACCTGCATTTCGCGCACTCGACACGCACGATCTCCGCAGAGGGTTGCGCGCGCATGCGATTTGTCCCTCGCCTGCATTTCGCGCACTCGACACGCACGATCTCCGCAGAGGGTTGCGCGCGCATGGGACAAGTCGCACTCTCGCCTGCATTTCGCACACTCGACACGCACGATCTCCGCAGAGGGTTGCGCGTCAAGTCTCCAAAACGAGCGTTTCGTACGAGACTTCCTCAAAAACTCACACGTCAAAGTCTGCAAAGCGAGCGTTTCGTACGAGACTTCCTCCAAAAGTCAAGCGGAAATACCCATCGGACCACACACATCACGCAGCCCTGCCAAGCAGTTTCGCGATTCCAGCCCCTCCAAACAACATCCGCTCACACGCCAATCCCAATGTGACAGCGACATTCACCTCTACCACAACTCACAACCTCACGATTCCCTGCGCCTGCCACGAATCTTTCCCCATCCACACGTCTAACGCGCACAAAGTACTGCGCCTGCCACGAAATGTCACCTCCCTCACACCTCGCAACCTCACAGTTCCCTGCGCCTGCCACGAGAATCGCACTTCCACGGTTCAAAACCCGCACGAAGTCCTGCGCCTGCCACGAAAAGTGACAATATCATCGCATGTGAGCTTCAACAAAATTTGCACCATACCACACGTTTGGAATGATTTCGACCCGTTCAGAGCACACTCCCATCCACCAAAATCGCCACTTCAGCTGAGACTTGTCACGAAAACCGAGCTTCGATGCCACACCCTGAAACGCAAATCCCAATGGCACGGCCACATCCAACACCCCAAAAACGCGACTCTCCAAACGCTAATCCCAATGGAACTGCGCAGTAATCTGCGGATCTCACAAAACGCTGCGCCTGTGCAGCGAAACGCATTTGGTTTCTTGCGCGGCATGTCATTTTCATGCAAATCACAATGGAATAGCGGCGCAAACTGACACGTGACACATCCATGAAAAGTTACTTGCAAAAGCTTCCCCCAATGGCAGCAAATTTGAGACGCGACGACGACGACACGACGACGACAAACGACGAGAGACGACGATAAACGACGACACGACGCAAGCCATGCAAACACAGCTCCAACCCCCAGACCCCCAACTATAAACGGGAACCCTTCGCTACGCATTCGGGAAAAAAAACGAACACCAACGGCAAGCAGAATGCTTCCCTGGTGTTCAACGAGCTTTTCTTTTGGGCCAAGAAAGAGCTGCAGCGCCGCCGAGCAGCTGGTGTGGCAGCTTCCCCATCTTGCGGAGCTCCACCAGGCGCGCCTCCAGGCGTTTGGCCAAGATCTCCTCGTCCGCCTCCCAGCGCTGCGTCGCACGCGGAGACGGAGACAGCCGACGAGCGGGCGAGACTTGACCCCGCGCGGAGGGTCCCGACGTGGCTCGCGTGGCGAGACGCCGCGGGTGCCTTGAAGCGGGTCATGACCTGCGGAGGCGGTTTCCAGAGGCGAGCAGAGGTTTGGACTTGTCGGGTCGATGTGATATTTTGCAAGCTGAAGTGTTTTAGTGGATGGAGAGTAGATGGCACAGACCCCAAGAGGTGGTTTATATGGACCCCCCGAATTCTCATAGGTTGGAGGCCATCGCGTTTGGGGGATGGACAAACGTGAGAAAGAACATCAGGAACACATGAAAAATCATGTACATATTGGATTCCTGCTGGTATTCAAACCGCAGTTGTAGGGTCTCAAAGAACCAATCAAAATGGTCGAGATGAGATGACATACAATCGCTCATGCCCTATTCTGGCGATGTTTCAATTTCGACACTTGTTTATGAGGATTATGAGGGATATCAAATCCGCCATCACAAGGAAACTCAATCCCGATTCGCACATGATTTAAAGCAACCCCTCACAAAGGCCTTGAAGTGGAGCAAAATCGAAACAGGATAGAGATTCCTTTTAGTATTAGGCTGGAGGCCATCGCTATTAGGTTCCTTTTACTATTAGGGTGGAGGCCATTGCTTCGTTTACGTGCAAAAAAAGCCCCAGCACAAAGGCCTTGAAGTGGAGCGAAACCGAAACGGGATAGAGATTCCCTTTACAATCTTCGTGTTTTCATGAGCTGTGGGAGTGTACACTAGTAGCAAGGACGCTACTAGTAGCAAGGTACCTTACTACTATAGTAGTAGCAAGAAGCTACTAGCTCTTGGCATTACTATTGGATACCAGGACCTTCCAACAGGTCACCACCTGCGACTTTTAAGTCTACAAAAGCCACCAGAGGAGACTTTTGGAAGGTGCCGGTACTATTAGCAATTAGCAAGGACGCTGCTAGTAGCTATTTGCTACTACGTAGAGTCCAATATCCCTTCTATTGCCTAACACATCCTAACACATTTTCCGGGGGGTTCATCTTTTCCGATGGTTGGATGGATTTCTGTACCATTCCGAACCTGCCGAAGATGCAACCCTGTTATTTCCAAAAGGCTTTCTTCCAGACATATTCTCCTACACTTGAGAGAGGAGGGGGTGAACGAAAGGTAGCAGGCAATCACAAGTAACCCTGACTGGTAGAAGTCTATGACGGCGTGAACCGGCGCAGGGGCGATTTGATCCAGGGGAATGAGAACTCAGGTAGCTCAAGCTACCTTTCGTGAAATGTGATTCCTCCTCGCGCGTTCACCGTGCCCACCGCCCTCCATGCGATCGCTCGCCCTGCCTTCAGTAGACTCTCTCGGTAGGTCACCCGGCAATCGCAGAGAGTCAGGGCGCGGATCGTGGCCGTGCGTCGCGCCAGCAAGGGGTTCTTACACAGCGCCTCGTCGCGTCGCAGCGCACTGGAAGGTGCTCTACCAGCTGCGGAAATCATCCATAACAAAAGCAACGCTAGTAGTAACAAGTGCCTTACTAGTAGGAACAAGAAGCTAGTAGTAACAAGTGCCTTACTAGTAGGAACAAGAAGCTAGTAGTAACAAGTGCCTCGCTTCTAGTAACAATCCGGATGAACTGTCTGGGACTGCCGGACGTTTCACGGCCGGGCCAGGGGTGGTGGGCAGGGTCTGGCTTGATAGGCATAGATTCCAATCCCATGGACCGTCGTGTCTGGGAATTGAGGGATGGTGGAGAAAAACACATGCCTGGTTCTTCAAAGTGACCGAACTTGATAACCTGGTTTGAGGTCACTTAAGCCTCCTGTTTGGGTCACTTTGCAACCTTCGAAAGGTCACGAACTGAAGAAGCTGGTGAAAAAAACCGTTGAGATGGGACCAACAGGACTTTCGCGTCTCCGAGTCTATTCGACGACTTCTGTTGTTTTCTCGGAGTCTATGTTTTCGACACGGGTGCGTGACAGGTTCGGTATATCAAAAGGACACACATGCTTACAAATCCCATACATGGAATATATGCCTACATTGACCCCCCCCTGGCACCACCCCAACTGATCGGCATATATATGGCATACGTGGAGTGTCTGGGAATTAGGTTCAAAGAGTTCAAACTCATGCTGCAGCCTCCATGCTACATCCATGTTCCTGCATTCTTGTTCATCCCTGAGCCCCAGCACAAAGCAATACTTCCTGCTCTGTGGAGACCAGGCCAACATGCTCATCTGAAGTGAAGTCTCGAAGCCCCAAGCGAATCACACCAAAAAATGGACCAATCTGCTGAATCCTGGCTAAGTGGTACCAGTAGTGCCTCCCCAAAAACCCAAACCACTCCGGACCAGTCCCTTCCCGAAACCGCACCCCAAACCCCAAAGCTGGACGGCGTTGGTTTCCGCCCCCCGGATTGGAACGCGTCTGAGGGACGGCAATCTCCCCGAAGACGGCGCCGTCTTTCAAGGTGCAAACGCGCTGGGAGCCGATGAGCACCTCCACCTCCCCACGGTGCAAGATATACATACCTGAGCCGGAGCCAGGTCCGACCCAAGTCCGACCCGTTCATTTGGGGGTGACCCCTCTATGAATCAACCCACCAGTCCGTCCCAAGGTCATCGTCACGAGCTGACTCCCTTCGAACCAAGGGGTTCCACCGTTTTGGCTGGGAACATGTCGAACCAAGGGGTTCACCAAACTCACCTGTACTTTCATTTGACCTGTTCTTGTTGTTTTGGGGAGAGAAACCATTCATCCAAACAGCTTTTGGAGGTGATCCACGCTCGGCCCGGCCGCAAAAGAACGCTTGTTGGGTCGGTGCGCGGGCCATCGGGTGGCCAGAGTGGCCGTGGTTCGGTGGTTCGGCTCATCTTGTTGTGTGAAACACATCACCTGGACTCACTGCAGTCCGGACTGCAAGAATACCATTCCATGCCCAGACACTCCATGGGACTGCCATATATGCCTAAAATTGAGCCCCCAAACCACCCCAAGGATCCCCTAAGGTAGGCATATATGGCATACATGGAGTGTCTGGGATGTGCTTCCCTGACTCAGCATGTTCGACTTTGAACTCTCTCACCTCACCTGACTCCATGGTCGCGCCGTTGGCGGTGCGCAAGCGACCACGGGAGTCTCCCCAACGACAAGGTTCGTGGCGTGATGCGGTTCTTCCACAACGAATAGCCCGAGTATAGTGAAGGCACTGAAAACTGGTCTGCCAGACTTGGTTGAAGGGAACATCTGGCAAAAATACATATAAGTTTTGGCATGGTTCATTGCTCCTGACTGGTTCTCGAAAAACCATGCCCGGCGGCAGTTAGATGACTCTAAAAAGTTCAGTGTTTCTTGATCCTGTTGGCTTCTTTCACAAATGTCCAGCACCCCAAACACGAAGCCATCCAGGGATTCCCTCTGCCGGTTCCCACGTCCATCTGCGGTTGAAGATCTATCGCCGTTGTCACCCTCAGTCATGATCTCTTGACCTGGCGCCAACAGGCGCCAGTGCTCGCGCTGTCCAGTCGCGGACAGCGCTGTCAAGTTGGCAGGTTTGGTGCCGTTCTTGATACTTGCAAAGACAGTAAACTTATCACAATTGGGTATATCCCATTCCATTAACAGTGGATGATATTGGTTAGTAAAGGCCTTGTTCAAACAAGTTCAAACATATAGTACGATAATGGTTTACCAACTGTTAGAGGTAATGAGGGACAAACCCAACTTATCACTTTGGCGCTTTGGCGCAACACTAACAACAACCACTCCGCAGAAACAAGGAAGTTAGGTTGGAGGCCGTCCCTTGTAGGTTGGGAGGCAATCGCTGGTAGGTTGGAGGCCATTCCAACCTCCCTTCTCGCTCTGGGCTCTCGGCTCGAATCGCGCGGCGCGGTCGATTCGCGAGCGGTTGGGCCTGGAGTAAAGAGTCGGTGACTCACCTGGCGTTTAAAACAGGGCCTGGAGGTGAACACCGGTGGTTTTGACCCAAAGACCGTCTGAAGGCCCTGTTCACATCGGTGTTGGGTGTTTGAAGATGGGAGTTGGAATCATATCATGATTGCATCGTGATTATGGAAATTAAATGTAACTCATCATTATATCGTAACATGGTCATGGGTTCATGTTCTTTTGAAGCATTGAATCTCACCACTGACACACCTCTTTGGCGTCTGTGAAGATCGTGGCGGGGTAAACAAGAAGACCGACCACCAGGCTTGGTGTTTGTTTCTAATTCTGGTTCAAGTAAGGCACCCCGAGTCCACTTTCGGGGTTGCCCCACAATGGGCAAAGGTTGTATGTGGCTAAGGACACGAAAGCTCTGAAATGGAGAACTCGGAGCCAACTTTTTTCAACGACTTTGTGTCTTTTAATTAGAGGCATGTCTATGGCTCATCATAACCCTTTGTGAGAGAGACAAGTGAGAGACCGAACCACCATAGTTTTCTACTAAAGGAGGTTGCACTACACCACCAGGTCAAGCATGTTTTAATGGTCCAACAGAAGCCGCTGGGCATGGACACCTGAAGGAACACGCCCTCCAGTTTCTCCGGCCGACGAGGGTTCCGCAAAGTGAGCCATACGAGAAATCGACGCAGCCGAATTTGGGTGGAAGAGTTGTTGCTATACTCTATAACCCCGAGTACCTATGAAAAAACGGACCCCTATCAAAAAAAAGTCATGTCGGAAACCCCTAAATGCGGCTTATATTCATTTGCAAATTGCCGCCCTTGCAATCCGCTACTAAACAACCAGCATGGCCGACTTTGGAGGAGTTTTGCTTTATTAGGTTCCAAAAGCAACCGTACTGCCCACCTCTGTCCACCCTGTCTATCCACCATGACACGCCGTGTTTACACCGGCAGGCTTTCCTTTCCCCAATGGCACAGACTCACGCAAACGCACTTTCCACCGAGGTCACGAAAAACCGCATGGCACAGCGACATCACCTTTCGAAAGCTTTATATAGCTGTTAGTCTAATGAAGAATCACTATTCTAATAAAGGCTTTTGTAGGGGAAAAGGAAGAAGACCCTTCGATCTGGAGGTTTTTGGAATTGTTGATCCGAGTTTAATAAAGGATTTTATTTATATATATATATATACATATTTTTTTTGGCTGATTGGGTGACTTTTTGGTTTTGAAGCCCTTCCCAGGTGACCAAATTTTAGACCACCCCGATTTCAGGGACCCCCTATTTAAACGGCGACCGAGGTTTCCTTATTAGGGGGGGCGCATGTTTTTTAATAGGTGGACCGGATTAGTATGAAGCTAGGACCAGGAGCAAATGGAATCCTTCGCTGATCCTAGTAGTGCTGCATCGCCCACAGTGCATATGCTTGGGGCCCAGAATGAGCTTTAGGTGCTCTGTGTCTTGTAGGAATGAATCCTCACGAAGGAAACATAGACCATAGATGAAAGCTGTTAAGTTGCAATCTCCAATTGAACCAAATCCATCCTGGATTTGATGATTCCAGGGACCAAAGCATTGGTGAGATGGTGCTCAATGTTGCTTTACTAGGAGTGGCAGTCTACGAGCTGCAATTTAATATTTCAACAGCTCAAACCAAACGTCGGCCAAATGTCATGGGATTCTGCTGTGATCGTCCCAAAAGGCTTGGAACAATGAAGCCCCACACTTCATCAACCTGAGAACTCACTGTCTGCGTGGGAAAAAAAACAAACACAACCTGTGGTCCAGCTCCCATGTTTCAACACTCTCTCTCTCTCTTCTCTCTCTGTCTGTTCTGCACATCCAACATGCGAAGCATTCTAATTCGTCTTCACATCGACACCGATTGTCGGACGATCTCTGGCCGTGGTGCTAAACGACATCGAATGGAGGGGGTTGTTCTCCAGCAACGGACCTGGCACAACCTGTCTGGGACTGGCGCCTACGGGTGCACTCCTTTCCCTACTCCATCACCCGCAGGCAGACTCGATACTGGAGCACATGGCAAGTCGTTGGTTGAAAAGGGGTCCATGTATGCATCTCTTCCATTCTTATGGAGTGTGACTGGAACATGGGTTCTGAACATCCAAGTGTTGGTCGTGTCTCCGCAAGGTCCGCCATTTCTTCCCGAATTCCTTCCACTCCTTCGAGCCTGTTCAGCGATGGCTTCCACGAACTTAGGGCTGCATTCCTTGAAGAGCGGCACTTCGCTGATGGACGACTTCCTCACACTGCGCGGGGATGCCGCCGCCGCAAGACGTGCCGCGGAGATCACGTGGAGGAGGTGTCCGGCGCCGTGGGAGGTTGTTAAGGAAGGCGGCCCATGGCAGGGGATCCACGGAATAGAAGACCTTGGGGCTTCTGACGTCGATTTCACTCGGCTCCACCAAATGCTGAACAAAAGGAACCTGAAGCATTTCACCACGATGTCACTCTGCTCCCACCCGAAAAAGCAGAACCACAGAAAACAGAAACAACACAACAGATACAACCACGGTGGAACCCTGTTTTTCGGTTTCCTTTCGTGTGTCCTCCAGCTACTCAGCTGCCCTGTGGGTCCGGAGACGGCACGGAGACGGGCGTGCTCCGGACGGATCCCGTGATGAGTCGGCAAAGTCAAGTGCTGAAGAAGACCGTGGCTACGTGTTACGTGGAAATTGACCCTTTTGGAACAAGAATGACTCACTAAGTGAGTGACATCCGAGCGAGTGAGGCACTGGTACCAACAGGAGAAGCGTCACGAATTCAAAGAGCATGCGGAGCATGTCCTTATATGGGATTGTATTTAAACATCCGTGTCATTTTGAATGTCCCAAGATCATGTTCTCGAGTGTTGTATTGTTTTTACTCTTGTTATTATACATTAAATTACACTGTAGCAAGAAACTACTAGCTAGTAGCTCCTGGCATTACTACTAGTAACAAGAAGCTACTAGTAGCAAGAAGTTACTAGTAGCAAGGTGCATCGCTACGGACGTAGCAAGGACACTATTCCTTTCTACTGTCCTTTCTTTCCTTCGAGCTCCTCGCGTTCGGCGTACGCCCATCGTTCGGCGAGGTTCATGGCTCGGAGCTCATCCATCCCCACCTTGTCGATGACACCCCTCAGAATTCGCTGGAGGCAAACAGGACCCATCGCGGGTTCGGTGAAGGAGACCCTAGGAGAAGGGTGAGACGAACATGTTTTGTTGGCCAATCCATTCATGTCACCCACCCACCCCTGCATCCTTGGGGCGTTCACAGTGAAAAGTACGTCTTCCGGACGCTTCCTTTTGGGACGCCGGTTCACTTCATCTACGACCGACGTTGTGCGACCAACAGCCAAACGAACCGCCGACGTCCGGCGGTGAACGGTGGAGCCAGAAAGCCACCGGTGGAAGCCAAGAAGGCACAGATGTTTTGTCATCGGAAGATGGACCTCCAAACGTTGAAGTTTCGAGGTCTGGGACCTCCAAACGTTGAAGTTTGGGACATCCAACACCTGGAACTCCAGTTGGTGGGCCATCTTGCAAGAAGCGAACGTAGGGACTGGAGGCCATCGCGTTGCTTAGGTAGGGTGGCCATCGCTAATTAGGTTGGAGGCCATTACTACTAAATATAGTAACTATAGCTCCTGGCATCACTATACTAATCATATGGCCGCGTATACACCATTTTTGTGTCGAACACCTCACCAGGCCAGGAGGGTGGCAGTGGATCCGTATAGGGATTCTTAAAGGAGCTGGTCGTAGGATCACACACCCATGGGATTGCCAGTCCGGACTGCCTTCAAAACGGCCAGGGGTGGTGCCAGGGGGGTCCTGGCTGGATCGGCGGACTTTCTGACTGTCCCACATCAATCATCTGTTGAAACCTTCGGGAGTAGCAGCTGCCTCCTCAGCTATGCAAAACCAGCCCTGCTTGGTAATGTATAGCTAGTTCTCGGCTTGTCAGTCCGACAGCCACTGCTGTGGTTTTCGGCCAATACTGCAAACAGTATAAGCTTACTTAAGAAACCGGAAACAAATCAATCCATATTTCCCATGCTGTCGGGGATTCCCCCAGTTCGGGAAAACCACAAATCACCCTGTATAATTAAGCCAAACCAGTTTTCTTAAACATTGCCGAACGACGAAGGCGTCTGAAGGCCAACGATCACCTTCCGACGACGGGCTGCGTCATGAGCTCGGCGATGGCGTGAGAAGGATGCGTGCATTGATGGCGCTTTCCATGTGTTGGGAGATGTGGAGGGGGGGGATGTTAGTTGCAACTACTTCCTCCAACACTTCCACCACCAATGGATGGAGTGTTGCAACACTTCCTCCAACACTTCCACCACCAATGATGTCGGCACTGAGGGGCGGGGCCAGCACCTCCTGGGGGCCGAGAAACGCCACCTGAGGCCACTGGTCACCTTCCAAGTCATGCCACCTTCCAGGCTCCCTCTCCTGGCCTTCCTCCCTTCCCTTTCCTCCTCTGCTCGCTTCCAGCGACCCCCGCCCTTCGCCCTCCGCTTCAGCCCAGCGGCCGAGCTTCGAGACTGGGGGCCTTGGGGTTTTCGCGCGCGGAGCAGCGGAGCATTTCAACGCAGTGAATCACGGTGCCCTTTTTGAAGCACCCTAGGGATCCAGTCATACCGAACCTCAGAAGGTGGAGGCCATCACTATTAGGTTGGAGGACATCGCTATTCGGTTGGAGGCCATTGCTAGTCTGTTATGTAGGTTTGGAGGGTCCAGTCGTACCGAACCTGAGGTAATAACGACTGTCGAATCCAAGTGGTGCCATCCATCCCTCATCAGGTGGTTGGAACTATCATTGCCATTCAGCGCTTTTGAGGTCACCTACAGGTACTGACACGCTTGGCGAAACAGTGGGGCCGATCAAAACATCTGCAGCTCTTTATGCATGGACATGCATCCAAACGTTGGCAGGTTCGAGTGAATACCCCTGAATACCCCTTTTCGCAGGTTCCATCCCTTTTCAAAGTGAAGCAACTTTTGTTCCGCCTCTTGGATTCTAATTCTAATTCAATTCTCATTCAATTCTAATTGAAATTAATTCTATTTCTATTTATTTTTTGTTTCTAGCAAACATTGCTCCTAGTAGTATAACTATGACCCGCAGGTGATCCACAGAGCCTTACTTCCCTTCTTACCCAGTCAAACTTTGTGGGGGGGGGCCCAGGCCCGACCTCGAAACGCAGGGGGAAAGGTCTGGACCCGAAACATCCCGACACCAGCACCCCATGTGTTGGTTCCTGCCAGGATTCTTATGGATATATACCAGGTAGTTCCGCATCCTGATTGGTTCAGGTCACTTGAGTATACTTGAGTCACTTGCTTGGAAGGTTCAGACAAATCGTGGTCACAGGGCTCCACCATGCTCCATGTATTTGGCCAACAATCCCCTCATGACCTGCTGCGCTGAAATCTTCAGATGCTGTGACCGACCGGGCGTCAGGCGTCGACCACCCGAGACCAGCAGGTAGTGAGTTGCTCATTCTCAAGACCACCACCCTTGATACATGTAAACAGTAACCAGTATGGACAGTAAACCATGTCGAAAAAGGTCTAAGCCACCAGTAGACCATGTCCAGTAAACCGTGTCAAGACATGACAAACAACCCATTTTTTGGGGAGGGTAATGATGGGTCGTATGACCAGAAAACCCAGACACTCCATGGGACTGACATATGCTCCATACATCCAGGGGTGGTTGAAGTTTGGGGTCCGTCTGGGGCGGTCCATATCCCAGTCCCATGGAGCATCTAGCTAGGTGTTGAATGGCGTGGCGTCCCGATGCGTCCGGTCGCGGTCGCCTCTTTTGTGTGTGTGTCCCCGGTCGCCTGCCGCTCGGTGTCCTCGTCTAAGGCATCCTGTGGACAGGGAAGAGCGAAGCAGAAATCGTTCGATGAATGAAGGTCCGGATGGGAAGAAAAACCAGCACCACCCAGGGCTAGGGTGGTTGGACTAGACCAGCCTAGGGTGATGTATTTTCTATCCAATCACCACCCTAGCCCTGGGTGGTGCTGGTCTAATCCAAACAAGGTACTGGTCAACGTCACCACTTTCCCGATGACCACGAACCCACCTTCTTTGAACGACGCAACATGACGACCCCGTTTTGTGGGGGGGCGTCGGCGGATTCGCTGTGACGACGCTGACTGTCGGCTGATTCACTTCCAGGGACTCACGTCGAGTGCAGGGACGGCTGGTAGGGTGAGTAAAGGCAGTCAAATGCAACACATGATAAGCGATACATAGCCATAGTACAAAACAAAGGACACTCCCTAGAAGCATCATGGAAGTTAAACATAAATAGGTTCCTTTGAAAGGCCATTCTTCTCTACCAAACAGGTCAGCTAGAGTTCCACTTCCATCTTGATGACTCGGAAATTAATAGATTCGAACACCAAAAAAACCTTGGGCGGAACAAGGACCGAATCATGACCCTATCCCATCTCCGAAGAGAAACGTCCACGAAACCTCCGAGCTCCGAACTGGCCACGCCTCCCAACTCTTCGACATCTTCGAGAGATGGCCTCCCAACCTACTAGCAATGGCCTCCAACCTAAGAGCGATGCCCTCACAGAAACAAACGAGAAGGGCGTACCGTCGAGAAGTCGCGTTTCCGCACTTTGGCTTTGGTGGAGAGCGACAACGTCGGCCTGGCGTGCACACAAGGCCGTTTTGGAGCCATGGACAACCAAAAACAAAACACGTCGGCAGGGTCAGCTCGGATATTCCAAGGTTCATTCCCTTTGGTTTTGGCTGCACCACGGTCGGTGTGCAGCTTCGGGCCCCTATGAATCAGAGTTCAGTCGTTTTTCGTCAGGGAAGAGTCACGTGGAAGCAGACACCAAAAGGGTTTTGCTTTGTTTCCAATTCATCATTGAAAGGCGGGCTTTGCCTTCAGCGGTTTTTGAGCAACAGTCTATAGCGGATCAAGTACCCGAGCAGGTGGTGCCGAAATGGAAGAAATGGACAGTGTCAGCTTTCAAGCCGCTTTTTGCGGCTGAGAGAGCAGGGAGTACTTGAGAGATGGTATCCAAAGGTCACTGACCTGGTGACCTCATGGACTGATGCAATACATCTACCCGGACCCTGACTGAGAATCCGGACTGCCATGGAGAGCCCATACCCATACACTCCAAGTATGCCATATATATGCCGATCAGTTGGGGTGGTTTACATGGAGTGTATGGGATACGGATTCTTGGGGTAATGTGTATATTAGTACAATACTTCATATGCGCTTCGCCAGACGTCCCTACATTTTTCGTCACATGTCAGGCATACGACTGCTACGACCGCAGCATTTTTAATTCGCACCTGGATCTTGGAACATCTATGCCAAATTTCTGCCTGTTCATCCATGCAAAACCAGCCAAGTTCGGCAAAAGCGTTGGGACAGTTCGGCGGATCTCAGGTATATCACCATGTCCGCGCGCAGAACCCGGGGCCCCCATGTGAGTTGGGCGACCAGGTGACCGTCCCCGAACCCCGCGCAGACCGCGCACCTCGCGAAGCTCGGCTCATCCAAGTGCTCCAGCCCTGGTCCGTCGAGTGGAGCGAAGGACGGGGACAATCAGCCTACGTGATTTGATGGGCCTGGGATAGAAGATACAGAGCCGAGGAGTCCATTGATACACCACCCCCAAAACGGATGGGTGGTACTGACTCCCCTCAGTCGTCTATCCTGACAGGTTTCTTCTCGGTCCACATCTTCGACCGTCAATTGTCCGGTGGTCGTGGCAGGCGGCAAGTCGGCGGGGGTGGCACGTACGCCCTCGTGAGCTGCGAAAAGAGACACCAAAGAGAGATGGGACCTGGTGAAGATGCAGGGATCCTCATGGTGTATTTGGGGCACAGACCACCCAAAAGACGAGCCAAGGACTTGATCCTGTATAAGTGCACTTAGCTTCCTTTTGATGCAAGTTCGTGACGTGCCACGGGTGACAGCGACCACGTGGTGTCACATGGACAGTCTCTTCCAGCCCGTATCATCCACACTTTCACGACCCGTCAAAAAGAACAGAGCAGACTGCTGGGAAAAACACAAACACAATCCTAGAATGAGGTCACTTAGTCCCTAAAGAGGTCACTTTGAAGGTCCAATCCACAAAAGAAGGGTTTTAGGTGATCCACTTGTCCTGGCTATGCACTACGTGCACGGACGCGCCGTGTCCGACTGCTCGTCCCCACCGACTGCGGCCGGCGTCCGCGTCCTCCAGTGGCCAGCGACCGCAGCGTCTCGGTATTGGCTCTTCGCTGCGTCTTCTTCCTGCCGGTGAACGAACGGGCTGACCCAGTCCAACCCCAGCCGCGGCTGTGGGGGGTGGAGGACAAAGGGAAGCAGGTTCCTGTCTTGAAAGCTCCGGGAAAACCTGCAAACAACTGAGATGAGGGACGGTCATAGAAAACGTGATATATTTCCCAGGCACGACTAATGGGACTAAAATATGTGCATACATTGACCCCAGGCACCCCCAATGTAGGCAAATACTGCGTGCATGGAGTGTCTGCATTTGAGAGAGGAGAAGTACCGAAATATAGACTATATAGGTATTCTTCGATACGTGAGATGTGCTCTGTGATTGGAAATGGTTTGGATATGACGCATCATTTTGAGCACCCTCGTGAGTACTGTCCTCGACGTTCAAAGCATATGTCACATACCCAGACGCAACCCTGGCCGCTCATATGGAGATGTCTGGGGTTGAACCTACGTGAGCGCGCTGCGCTCTCTTTTGCGCTCAAAAAGGGCTTCGGTATGTAAATGTGCTTGATCATAGCCATAAGGCCTTGACCTGGCTGGTGTGCAACCTTCTACACATGTTCATAGCCAAAAGGTCGTGACCTGGCCTCCGAAACTTGGTACACTTCTATTTGTGCACCCACACTCCCCCTTTGGCCGACATGGCCAAACTTGGGGTCACAAATTGACCAAAAACTATCCTCCCTTTTGGAGGTATGCTCAAGCCCCTCTCTCACTTTCTAGCCGGTCTTAAAGAGCGTATAGCCCACCCAGCTGAACGGCAGGTAGCTGCTCTTCCGGCCCGATCGCTGGTCGACCACGATCAACTTGGTCTTCCCGAGTGTGCTTCCGACCACCTGCCACGCGATCGTCATTCGCCATGGACTCCACTCATCTAGGTCCCAGAGCTTGGTGGTCTCAAAGTCAAACATCTTCTTTCGATCTTGCATGTGCTCCCTCACCGTGATCTTCTTGCCATGTTGATGGTCCTCCAACAAAAGCCAATCGTCCTTGGCTGAGGTCCTCCTCGGCGGGATCCCCACTCTTCGACGGAGCTTCTCCGTCAAAAAGCCCGGTTGGAAGTTGATGTCCCTCAAAAAGTCCAGCACTTCCTCATTCTTCACCTCCCACCTGCCCATCGTGATGCCGTAGCCGACGTGGGTGACCAATCGCAGAGGACCGTCAATCGAAGGACCAACTCCTGGTGTTGACTCCCTCAGCTCTGGCTGTTGATCTGCGGCTCCCTGCCCGTCTCCGCCCTCTTCTCCATCACCTCGTGTTTGGCTCGAGGAAGAAGTCTGCACCCGCCGCTCCATTCCAGGCTCACTGTAGACAAGGTGAGTCCCTTCTGAGTCCACTCTGACCCAGGTTCCACCAAAATTCCTTCTTGGGCCCCTTCGCTGCATCATCCGGTCCCATGCTGCCGGTCCCAACCCCAGCTGAGCCCTCCTGTTCCGCTCCGCCTCATAGTTGTATTCCCCACGATGCCATACGTCTGGATCGGGTACTTGACGGCGTCCAGCTGGTTCAGGTCGGACAGCAGGTGGTTCCTCTGGAACATCTATCTCCTGTGACTCCGATGGCTGCCCAGTGGATGTCCTCCGTGACTCTTCCGGTCTCGAGTCAACCCTCATCGCTCTCACCGAGATCCTGTTCACAGGGTTTCGGGTCCCCAGCTCCTGGTGCTGGTAGGATGGGTCGTCTGGCTCTGCCCAAGGGTAAAGTTCTTCGTGGGCCGAATAGCCGAATCCCCGCGACCCTCTGGCAGTCGTGGTCAGCTCCTCCACACAGTTCACCTCCAACTCCAAGATCTTCTCGATGACGAGCTGGGCGACGCGATCTCCCTTGTAGATTCGTAGGTCCACATCTGAGTGGTTTCTCAACAGCACTTTGACTTCCCCCCTGAAGTCCCTGTCGATCACTCCAGCCCCAGTCTCAATGCCTCGAATTGCCAACGACGACCGTGGTGCCACCCGTCCGTAGCTACCCCTCGGAAGCTCCAACGCGATCCCGGTCTTGATCAGCACGCTGTCTCCCGGCTGCACCATGGTTTCGATGGTGGAGTAGAGGTCCAACCCAGCAGCCTGCTCAGAGCCTCTAGTCGGGAGGATGGCATCTGGCGACAATAATTTCACCTTCAGCTCCTCCTTTGGCTTGAACCACCTCTGCGCTCCCGCTGCCCCGACCCTGAATAGGATGTCGCCCAAGATGGCGATCGCGGCCGTGATCAAGACCAAGATCCACCATTCACTACTTCCCTCCTCCTTGACTGTCTCGGATGCTTCGGCCCTGGTGAC